TAAGCTAGTCTTCATATGAACAAAAGATAATATTTTTTTTTAATTCTTGTTAATTATAAACTGTAACATCAGTAATTGTTACCACATAAAATAAAATTTGGGTGAAGGAGAAATATTTTTACCCCTTCCCAGGGTTTAGGAGAGAATAAGTGATGGTTTCTCTCCCCCCCTCCCCCCCCCACTCTGAATCAGGTTCTCACTGGGCATGATCTTGTCTTATCCCCCTTTCTCCCCAGGGGGCATTTAGCAATGTGTGGGAATTTTTGATTGCCACTACTGGGGTGCGTGGATACTACTGTCATCTAGTCAGTTGTGCCCAGGGATGCTGCGAAACATTCTGTAATGCACAGAACAGCCCCCCATGGCAAAGAACTATCCAGCCCCAAATGTCAATAGTGTTGAAACCCTGCTGTAAACTGTTAGGTTTACTTGCTGACTTTTACAGTGGATTAGCTTTTACTCAGTTAATTCAGAGGTAAAATTAACACTAGTACTCACAGTCCTTCTTTGTGTTCTGTACTTGGCCTTGGTGCCCTGCCCAAGGTTGGGACAAGCCCTGGCCATGTGTGAAGGCCTAAATTCAGGCAGGCAGCTGACAACAACAGCACTTGAACTGTGACCTAGAGGCAACAGTGCAAGAAAATGAAGAGCTGACATGATAATGACTACATAGTCTCATGAAGGGACGAAGTGTGAAGATGTAGCGTGAACCCCACTATTCAAAGTGTGTTTTGAGAACCAGCAGTGGTAGCATCACCCAGGAACTTGATAGATATGCAGACTCCCAGGCTCCCCTCAGACCTACTGAATCAAAATCTGCATTTTAGCAAGATACCCCCATGGTTCTTTGCATCTGGAAGCTAGAGAAGCGCTGAGCAAGCATTTCTTACTTTGGAGGAAAATATATCTTGGTTCAAATTGTGACTGACTCTTACTAGCCGTGTGACCTTGGCCAAGTTAAAAAAGCTCACTGTACCTTACTTGTTTGGGTTGTGCAACGGGGATAACATCACCTTACTCGCGAGGTGGTTGTGAAAATCAGACAGGCTTCTTTGTGTCAAGGACTCATCACAAAGTGAAAGCTCAACAAACTGAGCTGTGATTGATAACACGAAAAAGATGGCAAACGCCGAGAACATTAGGGAGGCAGCTTATGCCTTGAACTTCCCAATCGTCATCACCAAACAATGCTTGTACTCTTGGCAGATCTGGTTTCTCTGAACAAGAAAATAGCAAAAGCCGGAGCTTCATAAGCTTCTACAGACTCTGGTCCTTCTCAGCACCCCACTTGATAAAGACTAAATGGATCTGGGGACCCAAGAGCCTAAACTCCCAGACATGTTCTGTCAGCCTAGCCTGAATGACACTTCTGTTCATTACGTTCCAGAACTCGAAAGTAACATAGTAGGATTTTTTTTATGACACCCGGGAGGAGAAAGGCTGTGTGAGAAACAGAAAGGTTGAGGTTAGAGGAAGGAGACTGGGTGAGATGAGCCCTTGTCAGAGGGAAAGAGGCTCTGTTGACTGGACGGGCCCCTGGGTTCTCGTCTTGTATACACATGAGAGAACACTGAAACCCCACTCTAACGACTGCTCCAGTGCCGGCCACGTCAGCCAGGATCTCTCACAAGAATCACTTTTTGGAAACCAGACTTTTGTGAACCAGTGGGAGTGTAAATACTTCCAACATGAGACAAAGCAGAACTTGAATCATAACTGCTGTGTCCAGCAGAGTTCCAACAGCCAGGATGGTAAGGGAAAAGAGAAGAGAAAGGGCTCAAATGGAGACTTCAAGCAGCAGAATAAGATTTGAATAAGAAGACTGACTCAAATTCCTTTCGCAAAAAGGAATTTCAAGTTTATCGTATTCAATAATGACTATTTCGAAGTATACAGGGATTTGGGGGTTGATTTGTCTTCTGAACGTTTTGCGGAGCATTTTTCAACCTTTGATTTAAGTCAGAACAGGTTTGCATTCTTCTTCTTTAGTTTTTCAATGATAAAAACGTTTTCTGTCATGAGTTTAGAAAATACAGGAAATATAAAGAAGAACAACAAGCACACCCAAACCCAGCACCTGCTTATCTCTTCTTTTATTTGATAATTGTTTATGAAGTACCTGCTGGGTACCAGGGACTGTGCTTGGTGCTGGACAAACCCTCGTTGACCAGGTGGCCTTGTTGAGGCTTCTTAGAGCTCCCAGTTGAGCAGCTAAATTTTGATGTGTTTCAGTATTTTTTTTCCTGTGACTTCTTTAATGACTGTGTGATAGCAGACAATAAGAGCTGATATCCATTGGATTCTTATTGTGTGCTGGACCCTGTTTTATGGTGGTTTATGTCATTTGCATGAACTCTGTTAATCCCTATAGCACCGCTGTGAGAGAGGTGCTGTTATTCCTACTTGACAGATTGGGAAATTGAGGCATGAAGAGGTTAAGCAACTTGCTAAAGGTCACAGAATCAATAAATGCAGAGGGGTTTTTTTAGATTTTATTGGGGAATCAGGGAAGGGGAACAGACAAGTTGCTGTCCTTTTGTTCTTCAGTCTAGTTGTGGAGGACGTCGCTTCACTGGCCCACGTTGGTATTGTGATCACTGCGCTCTTCCTGGGTGAGGCAGATCGGTCACCGGCCATTGGACAGCTACTCATGGTGGCTCACGGCCACTCACACCCGCTGCCGGCCACTCACAGTAGCTTATGGCAGCCCACTGCAGCGTCACTCCAGCCTACGCCATTGCCAGCGACTCATGGCAGCCCAGCTCCAGGTCGAGCTGTTGTTCACCATCTTAGCTGTAGAAGGTGCAGTGTCACTGGCCCATGTGGGATCCGATCCTGTGGCCCTGCTGCTCAGAGCTGGTGTCCCACGCCAGCTCTTAACCAACGAGCCACTCATCTGGCCCAATAAATGCAGAGTCTTGATTAAAATCCAGGCAGCCTGGCTCCAGAGCCTGACCTATTTATCCCTAAACTGTACTGCCTCTCATAATGTAAAATTGAGATCATACTTTATAGACAGTTTTGATTCCTGCTTTCATATTGACCATATTTCACCCCGGTGATGACGTGGCACACCTTCAAGGAGGGTGCGGGGGGAGTGGGGTGGTAGAAAATATAGAAAAAGACTTTGTGCATAGAATACAACTTAATAATAAAAATTTGTACTATGTGAGTACCCTCTAACATGCATAAACTGTGTATGATTTCTTATCTCCAAAAGAAGTAGAACTTTAATTTATTCATTTGTTTAATAGGATCATAATGAAATAAGCATACTCACAAATGTGATAAGCATTTAAATGCTACAGAGATCATAAAGCATCCTTAATGCTTATCATACTTCTTTTTTTAATCCAGTAATTTTAAGAGGAGTTAAGCTGGGCAAATTACTTTGGAAAATTAAAGGTTTTGTAGCTTGTGTTTGATTTCATAGCAGGAAAACAAACCCAACTTGAGATTAAGATAATGAGCAGTCAATGCGGATAGCTGCTCTGGAAATTAATGTAACGTGGAATTGTGTTGGAAGAGATTGTATATTGTATTATGGGTGGCATGAGACTCAAGTTGCCTGGGAAGGGCTTTTCACGGCATGTGTTGAGACCATGGTTTTATTTAGGTTCAGGTTAGACAGAAGTTCCCAAGAGCGTGTTGTGTCAGATGAGGTCTGTTTGTACAGGATCTTATGCTGCTCTTCTTAGTGAGCCAGTGGGGTATTCTCTGTGCATGTCTGAAGGTATTTGTGAGTTGCAACACTGTGTATCCGCAGTCAAGAAGGAACAAGTTCACGAACTGTCAGGAGATTTCAACTAATAAATAGCAAGTTAAAAATAGATGACACGGAAACATTTGAATGGTAGGGGTATCTAGCGGGAAGCGTGGACTTCTGAGTCAGGCAGACATAGGCTGGAATCCCGACACACCTGAGTAGTCACTATATGACCCTGGGCAACTGCTTGGCTTCTCTGAGCCTTAGTTTCCTCGTCAGGCTAATATCTGTCTTTTGGAGTTGTTGTCAGGATTAAATGAGTCTGTCTACATAAAACACCTGGCACGGTGGCTTGCACTTGGTAGAGGATTTGTTAATGGTTACTGTTATTATTGGCTATTAAATATGTTTTGATCTTCTTTCAAACTACCTAGTCGCGTAACAGTGGTTAAAAACGCACATGACAGCAAGACTGTGGGTTCCAGTCCTGGCTCTACACTTGCTAGCTGTGTGACATTGGGCAAGTGACTCAACCTCCCAGTGCTTCAGTTTGCTTTCTTTAAAACTGAATCATTATAGTAGCTATGTCTTAGGGTGGTTGAGTGTTAAATAAATTATTACACGTAAAGCCCTCAGCACGGCCTGGCACATATTGAGCACCATGTGAATGTTTGCTGTTATCATTCACGGAGTCATTAACTCAGAAGACGATAAAAATATTACACCTTAAAAAGTAGATACCTTTGAACATTTCCTCAGCTGCTACAACTTTTCCTTACCATTTGATATGTAATTTGTTAGATGTTTGTGGCTCAGATATAGTTTATTCCAGTGCATATTAAAACGTGAATCTTAAATTTGGGTGATAACCCATATACATAGTATGTAGAATCCAGACAAGAATTAGGTTTTCTATTTTATAGGATTTTTATCTCATCTTTTACTTATGTATAATGAAGTAGTTGGCAACTGTGTTCTTTTAAGTCTGAAAAAAGAGATGGAAAAATTTTAGGATAAAGAGAAAAACCATGTCTTAAATAGCACGGTAATATAGCTTGTCTTCCTATTTTTTGAATTAGCATTTGCCCAAAAAAACCCAAAACAAAACACACTTTGTATTTACCTTCAGAATATTCCATTTGGAATAAAACCTCTAAGTAAAACTTTAAAAAAAAAAAGTGGGTGTTAGCATTATGTGGTATCTCAATGAGCTGAATTTTCTGGTTTGGCACTAAGTTAATTGTAAGTTTTTACTGAAAAATGACCATTCTGAAATGTCCCTTTTCCTCTTCAGATTACTCTGAGCTGGGAGAGCTTCCCCCGCGGTCTCCTTTAGAGCCAGTTTGTGAAGACGGACCCTCTGGCCCTGTACTAGAGGAAAAGAAAAGGACCTCTCGCGAGCTTCGAGAACTATGGCGAAAGGCAATTCTGCAACAGATACTGCTCCTCAGGATGGAGAAGGAAAACCAGAAGCTGCAAGGTGGGCTTGCCAGTTTTTATACTGAACAGGCCTGATGATCGCAGTTTATCTTGGCTCTGAAGTGAGTCACATCAGACATTAGAGTGCTGTCTTTAAAAGAAAGCAAGATACGCTAACATACATATATACATATATGCATATGTAAAAATACCTGTGTACTTTGTCAAAGTTAACACTACTTTCTGGAGATCTAATGATCTTGCCAACTGCGTTAATTATTCCTATATAGTCATTTTTAGCATAATGCCTATAACTTCTGAGAGAAAACCTTCAACTGTATGAGCTTTAACCCTCTGAAAAGTGGTTTTTGTTTCATTTTTCTCCCCCCCTCCTCCCGCTTTGTTCTCAACCATAGCCTTTGCCTGGGTGTTATGTATGAACCAATGCTACATATATCATTAAATCTCACTCTATGTGCATTTTTAGTGAGTTGCAAGTAAACCAAAAACTTCAGCATTAGCCGAGCTCTACCTGTACTGATATCAAGGTGTTTTATGTAGATGGACCCATTTAATCCTGAGGAGAACTCCAGAAAGCAGGTATTAGGCTGAAGAGGAAACTAAGGCTCCGAGAAGCCAAGCAACTCGCCCAGGGTCATGTCAGTGTCAAAATAAGACGTGAACTTTGAAAGTTTAGATTTTGTTCATTTCCTGTTTCCATGCTGTCACTTGAAGCAATAAATATTTTCAGAGTAGCTAAGATCATGCACCCTGGGTGGTACAATGGAAAGAACATGGGTCTTAGATTGGAGAGAGCTGCCTGGCTATAACATAATGAGGGATTTTGTCAGGAAGCCTGGACATACTCAGAGAGAGGCTTTCCAGGTAGCCGGTTCAGTCCTGCTATCACTGCCCAAAGAAATTTTGGAATTAGAGCACAGTGGTTTATAAAAAGAGTTTACTAAACTGCCTTTCGCTTTCTGGGCTTTCAGTTACCTATGGCCCGCCATAGTCTGAAAATGTTAGATGGAAAATTCCAGAAATAAACAGTTCATAAGTTTTCAATTGTGTGCTGTCCTGAGTAGTGTGATGAAATCAAGCTGCCCTGTCCCGTCCTGCCCGGGATGTGAATCATCCCTTTGTCTAGTGTCTGCTCCCGGAGGCACTACCCGCCCGTTAGTCGCTTAGCAGCTGCCAGGGTTATCAGATCCACTGTCCTTGGTGTCAAGCAGGGCTTGTGTTCAAGTCACCCTGATTTTACTTAGTGCCTCAAAGAGCAACAGTAGTGACACTGGAATTCGGATATGCCAAAGAGAAGCTGTAAAATGCTTCCTTTAAGTGAAAAGGTATGTATGTAAGGGAAAAACATAGCGTATATAGGGTTTGGTACTATCCTCCTTTTGGTTGTCAGGCTTTGTCTTTTAACAATGATCTTGCTCTTTGTATAGAGCTGAAAGTTATTAGGACACTCAATCTCATGAATAAGGTTCATAGTCCAGGTAAATATATTATCTTTGACCAAAAACAAGAAGTGAAATGTAAAGTAAGACCTTTGATATGAAAGTAGTTCAACTGTCGTAAGAGGCTGCGTGTGGGTGTAGACGCAGGCCTGACCTGAGAGAGATGGGTCATCCCATGAGGGTGCTGTGGGCGGGGGTGCTGCTGTGAGGGCTTTTCAAGCTGTGCGTGCTGAGTGTTCTCCCAACTCGATGTTCGTTTTCGTGTGTGTTCCTGCAGATGTCTAAAAGAGGTTTGATAGCGATGGCATCACTGAGTGTGTCATCAGATAAATGACAGCTTTGGAGCGCTGCGCTTACATCCATGTGTATGTTGGTCGGGACTTTTGTTGGAAAGCAAAAAGGCAGTTAAGTTCATCATGTAGGTCATAAACCTTAGCGCTTATCCTGCCCAGTCTTGCAAATGACAGCCATGGGAAAATCAGGAAATAGCTGTAAAATGGGACCGACGCTGCAGGCCTCTTGGGAAGAACCGTGACTATAATTGATGATATGAGTATGCTACAAAAGCAAAGCTTTTGTAAGGCTGTGTACATGATGACTACCAGGACTAGAATGAACCTTAGGGACGTTCCCTAAGGTTACCTGGAACACCTTCCCAGGTGTTGGCTAAGTTCACTGGCCCTTCCCGGCATCTTTCTACTGCTTCGTCATTTCATCTGGCAGCGTTCAGTCCTGGGTGGACTTTCATTTTTACTGTTTGAATTCATTTCTCGTCTTAGCTCTGTAAAGTTCAACACATGTTTACCTTTGTAAGGTGTGTTGGGGTGGATGGGGGACAGAACTTTCTCATTAAATTCACAAGCAAAATTTGACAAGAAATAACCAGGGAGTGTACTATGTACTAGAGAGACAGTCATTCTATTGCTTATTTTTCATTTGCTTTTTAAAAGCAAGTTAAATGCAACTGGGATTGACTCTTGAAATTGTCAAGGGTTCAGGCTACCAGCCATGCTCTTTGGGAAAGAAATTAAAGAAACATGTATGAGGAGAGTCTTTCTATGGTTAAGCTTAGTTTCTGGCTTTTGAATATAGGGATAAAATATTTATTACTGTTCTAGAAGCATTGCATCTGACAAAGAACCAAACCACATCGTCTAAATCTACCTCACTCCATTGTATACAGTTGGAAGCGGAATTGTAATTTCCTCAAAGTTAAACAGCCTATTTTTTCAGTGGTGTTGGGACTAAAATGCATCACCTCTCTTCCAAGCCAGCTGCCTTCCGCTGTATCCCTCTGCAAAGTCGTTTTTCCTCCTCTATAAATGAAGATGCAAGCAGCCCTCATGCAACACAGTGGGGTGATTCAATACAAGCATGGTTTTTGGTCAGCACATTATTGCTTGTTGGACTGACTCATGTAAAAAAGCATTTCGTGTTTAAAATGTTACAGATATTATTGGGTTGTCGTAAAAGTCATGCTGCCTTTTTGCAACGAAAAACATGGAAAAAAATGTGTCATGACTTTTCCGACAACCCAATATATCTGTATAACAATGCCAACACATTGAATTCGGAATTTTAATTGAATTGTAATTGAAGATATTAAAGGTTTTTCCCTGATTAAACAAATATTGCATGTTGATTGTAAAAATATTAAATAATGGGTGCTGTTTTTCTAAAATCTCTACAAGCTTGGGGGTCATTTAATTACCCTTAGCCTTCCCTTTCTAAGCTTTCAAGAGATGGTGGTAGTTGGAAGAGTGTTTTGCCTGTGAAGGCAGTTGCTGATGGAGCACAATTGGTGATGGGTCACCACAGCCCACCTTATGCAGTGGACATAAATCAGACATGAACGTTAGTCCGAAGTCCAGGTTCGCTCATACGTCCATGTTAAGAAATAATGAATGTTTCAGATGATGCTTTTGCAAAGTGACTTGTAATCTCACATAGTCCTGGCTTTCCCCCAGCCCCAGAAACTCACAACCATGGGATTGTAGACCCTTCTTTACAATTCTAAACAGTTTGGTCTTACAGCTAAAGCGTTTGCCTTGGAGCCTCGACCGTGACATTTCTCACAGACCTGCACCACCTGCCCTGGTTGATAAGGCGCTTTAAGAGGCCACCGATCTTAGGCAGCAGTGTTGTCAGGATACAGCAACAGCAGGATGTTGCTTGGGCCAACAGTGAAATACATGGATTCAGCCTTTTTAGCCGAATCTTCTGGCCAAATATTTCTGTTCTGTTGACTGCAGAGCGGGTTTCTTATGTTGCTTGCTGGGCACTTGAGTGCAGCCAGACATGCTCACAGCAGAGTTCACTGCCAGAGAAATGTACTTTGGCTCCGAGAGCCTGGTTCTGCTGGCAGTCACTGTTCAGCAAGGCTAGTTTTGAACCTGATTTCCCACAAGCGTTAGTTCAACTCTAATGACATCTACTGTGTATCTTCATAGCCAAAAAAAAAAAAAAAATCGAGGGTTGACTTTTTTTTTTAATTTAAACTCCACATATGTAGGGAACTGCTTATCAGACCTTGAAAAAATGTATTTTTCCAAGTAAGAAGGAAAAAGAAAAATGGTAGATGAAAAATCACAAAAGATACGAGAGGCAGCACTAGGCCTGGAGTCACTTTGCTACCCTCCAGCTCATCAGTAACCTTGAGCAAATCCTTTACTCGACCTGAACTTCAGGTAACTGTGTCCACTAAATGAGAGGCTGGATGAGGGACCTCTGCAGGCCTTTTGAAAGGTGCCATCTTTTGATGTATTTGTACTTGAAGGTAGTAATTGGGTCAGTTAAGTGCAGAGTCCATACATCAGATGAATAAGGTCTTACCATCAAGGTACTGTTAGCCAGTTAACTGAGTCAGCATTCGCTCAGTTTCTAACCTGGAAAGAACACAGTAATACCTTGGTTTGCGAGCATAATTTGTTCCGGAAACAAACTACTCGTATTGCAAGGCATCACTCGTTGACCACGTTAAAGTGTATTAGAAATGTTTGCTCGTCTTGCGGAACATTCGCAAACCACGTTACTTGCAATCCAAGGTTTTACTGTATGTCATGTTATCAGCACTTAGTTTGTAAAGCAGCACTTTGTACCTTTTGTTATTTGTCTTTAGTTTTTGATAATTTGTGTAGCACTTGCTAATTGGACATTTTGTAGATACTTAGTATATGTTATGTCATTTAATCCTCACAAGACCAACTCAAGGAAGAAGTAGCTATAATTCTCATTTTAGATATAATATAATAGGAACTGGGGTTCAGGAACAATGGCCTAAAGCCCCAAGGCTTCAGAACCTGCTGCCAGCACTCCCTCCTTCTGCAGCCTTGGGCAAAGTAAGGAACCTGTTCCGCCTCCATCTCCTCCTGAGTCAAGTGGGCATGGGGAGAGTGTATTCACAAGGGGCGGGGGTGTGGGGAGGGGAGCAGACTTGTGAGGCATGTGCACTGACTTAGCAATGCTTGTAGTCTGTAGGACTAAGAGCAACTTCATGCCCATAACTTAACAAATTAGATGAAATAGACAGACTTCCTAAAAGATGCGATTTGCTAAAAACTGAAATGAGAAGAAAAAAGGATCTAAATGGCCCTGTATCTGTTAAAGAGATCAAATTTGTATTGAAAATCTTTCACGCAAAGAAAACTCTGGGATCAGAGAGCTCCACTGGATCTTATCAAACATTTAAGGTCTCTAATTATACGTGCCTAGTCCTAGAAAAAGGTATAATTAATAACAAGCTGTGCAGGCATTGGAGGGCAAGGGCCCCAGGTCCTCTCTGCCTCCCCCTCTGGGACCTTGGTGGAGCTGCTCAGCCTCTGGTGCCTCAGAATGACATTACGATTAAATGTTACGAAATATAAAGTACTTAAGACATATAGTATTTATTATTATAAAGAAGGCAAGTTTATATCAGCCCTGCAGAAGTCTGCATTGGCTTATACGCACACATAGCTATGTATCCTATTTGCTCTCCTGATAAGTTCGGTCTGTATCTCAGATGTGATGTGGGATAGATTTGGGGGCTGACAACATTACTTCTGTGTCTAAATAGGATTCAGTGGTTTTAGGTGGGAGTGATGTTATCTACTTTAATCCTTAGAATTATCCATGTAAAATTTTCCTTTATTGATCCCCCCCACCCTCCCACCCCTCAACCCCCGTTTGATAATTTAAGTATAATTCTTTTTAATGCAGCTTTAAGCTGAATAAGGTTGGTGGAAAATAAGCTGCCTTCATATATGTGTGACGGTATAACATGAAAAGGGGGAGATTTATTCTGTTCAGCTCCAGGAAGCGGAAATATGACTACTGGTCAAAGCTATCTAAAAGAGGCTTGGCTCTAAATAAGAGCGAACCATCCTTGGAGAGCCTCTCCTAGTTTAGACGAAAAAGTTTTGTTGAGCCCTAACTATGCCATGCACTAGAGTTTAAACACAGAACTCCAGCCTTAGAGATGTTTGTGGTTGAATAGGGTAGCCATGGAGATGGATAGACTTAGACAGGTATGGAATATATCTTAGCAATAGAGCCACGAGGAGCCATTGTGGATGAAGGGGTACGAGAAATCGAGGATACCTCCTAGGTGTTTAGCTTTTTCCAAAGTAAGGGAATTGGGAGCGGGGCAGGGACAGTGAGTTTAACGTGGACCTGTTCAGCTGGCTGCAAGCGCTCGACAGCTCAGCAGTGAGGATGAGCAGGGAGCCGTGTTGTGACATAGAAGACACAAGACACGTAGCTGTCGGGTTCACTAACGTCCTCTTGAATGGTCTGTTCTAGCCTCTGAAAATGACTTGCTGAACAAGCGCCTGAAGCTTGATTATGAAGAAATCACTCCTTGTCTTAAAGAAGTCACTGCAGTTTGGGAAAAGATGCTGAGCACTCCAGGAAGATCCAAAATTAAGTTTGACATGGAAAAAATGCATTCGGCTGTTGGGCAAGGTAAGCCTCAGTGGGGGTCAGCCCAGCCAGGCTCACCCCTCATTGATGACTGGGGAGAAGTATGAAATAAAAAAATGTTTAAATCCAATTTCAATGGCCATTTCTCTCCTACTTATCTATCAAGTCTTTCCTTAATCTGTTTCCAGACATCTTAGTTAATGTTTGATCACCCTTCATGATTCCTCTTAATAAAAATCAATTAAAATGCCCAGAAGACCAGGAAACAGGAAGAAGATAGAGGAAAACCCAGCGGCTTAGTTGCCTACCAACTGGTAATGATATGATTACACTCAGTTAAATGGTAAAAACTGGAAAGTATTTGCGTGGCTTCTCTCAGCGCTCTCAGTGTCGGGCACAGACTGTGGACAGGTAGCTTCAGGTGTAAATTCCAGCCCCCACCAATATGCAGGGTGCTCTGAGGCAAATGACTTCACCTCTCTGAGCCCTGCTTTCCACATGTGTAAGATGTGGGTGATGACAGGGTTTTTCCGAGGAGTAAATGAGCTGATCCCCAGGAGCACACTGCACATGTCTGCTCTACAGAAAGGCCCTGGGGAGTCGGACGTATGTGCTATTTTTTATAGTGTGGTCTGTTGACCACGTACCAGTCCAAGCTGTTACTGGCCCAAGAGAAGTATAGGACTTAAGACTAAACACTTAGAAATTTTTGCAGCAATTGGATAATGTGATTCTATTTTTTTTTTTAAGGCAGACTTGTATTTTGTTAGTCTTTTTTTCTCATTTCATTTTTTCTAGTCGTTCGTTTTTGCTGCATTTTATAAAAGTATCAGCCTATAATGGATTGGAAATTTTTTAAAGAAAAAGAAAAAAAAACTGGTTCTTCATCACAGATCATTTGAGAAGCACTATTTTAGAGCTTAACTTCAATGATTATTAGTGTTCAAGTAAAACAGCCATTTCTTCTAAAATGTGTATTAATGTCTGCTGGCAAGATTGGAAGCTTTTTGAATCTAATCTAATTCCAGTGCTACTGAGTTCTGTCCAATCTAGTCACGAATAAACAAGTGTTTAGAAAAAGGGTCGCAAATCTATATAAATCTTAGGTTTTCTTCTGACTTTATTAGCTGCTCCATGGAATGATGCATGCATCATTCATCTCTAAGAATAAATGGAGCAAAGTGGATTTTTCCTACTATAGTCAATTAGGCATTATTTAACCTTTATCTGAGCTTTGACAGCATCAGTTTTAGTAATATACAGTCATTGCTAGTTGTGACTTTCTGCTTTCTATGGAAAAGGAAGCTTGGACTTAAAGCAGTTGAGTTATGGGCCCTGGGCCGCAGAGCTGGCTTTGTTCCTAGCTCCAGGCACCACACAGCACTGCCTGCAGTTGAACCGTGCCTTGGCCGTACTGGCCTCAGAGACCAGAAATACGCAAGTGATGAGGACGCAGGTTCCAGATTGGCCACTTCCTGTGTTACTTTTCTGGGCTCTGGCCTCCTGGCGGCTAGACAGAGGCATGGACCAAGCAGAGGATCTCAGAGCTCTCTTCCTGTTCTCACATTCTTTGTACCCACAGTGGTTGCTTGAGGCTTACCGTCACACCACATGGCCCCAAATTGATGTTTTGAAAAAGGAGAAAACAGGGAAAAGAATGACTCTGTTTTTTCCCTTTTCAGTGTTGACTATAAGATGGTCTTTAGGTGGTTTTGCTTCTACAAAAGGTAAATCATCTGGGTCTGTGACAGCTGTTGAGCTATTTGAGCTTAGAACCTTGGCACCTGGATACAGTCATGCATTTTATGTTGGGGACTAATAGAAATGCTCCAGGGATCTGGAACATGTGTAGGGAAGTTAGGGATTGAGGGTTGAACAATTTATACAGTGAGCCGAGGCTAACCTGGAATTTCCTCATATGTCCCCCAACAGTGCCACATCACTTTTCATGGCACGAACTCTGTATCTCTAACTGTAAACGGTACTTTGTCAGCCATTCACTGGTTTCAACACATAAGATTTAACAATTCCAAAGAAATGGCCACAATCCATCTTGTAGCTCAGAATAAAAACGAGATTAAATCAGAACCACACCTTTGGCCTTTCACGTAGAAGCCAAGTCACTCCTGAGCCCTTGAAAGAGAAAACAGGCCCTGTGTGGGTAAGAGGCCTCTTCTTAACGATCTCAAGGCCTCTACATGACAGAACAAAAGCGATTTATGAACGTTTCAAGTTAAAACTGAGTCAGAGTACCAGGATTAGGATGTCAACTCGGGAGAAGGAAGAATAGTTCTGTGGAATTTTAAATAACCCAAGTTGTTTTTTTTAATTTTATTTATTATTATTATTATTATTAGTTTCAGGTGTATAAAACAATGCAATAGTTATCCTTTCCACCCCTCACAAAGTGTAAATAATCCAAAGTTTAATTTGGGTTTAGATGACATATTTAAATGACCTCATTTATTTACTAGATAGAAGATGTCAAGGTAGAAACATACGAACTGGAGGGTACTTTTCCAGGAATGGGATTGCAAAGAGTCTACCTGAGCATTTGGCAATATGGGCGAGATGCAAACCCTGCTTACCTTTGACCCAGCAATGCCATGTATAGAAACCTGTTCTAGAAATTAATCAGTTAAAAATGTACTGCTGTAGGAAGAATGCTTACTGTGGCATTGTTTAATAGCCAAGAAACAGAACAGAACCAAAATCCCCAACCATGTGACCACACCCATGTCATATTCCTTGAAAATGCCATGGTAGATTTGTATTACCTGATGTAAAAGACGAGTTGTTAAGTGAGAGGAAAAAGTGCAGCATGGTCTCATGTGCAGTTGTATAGTTCTGTGTGCGTATCTGTTGAACACTCTCGGTGACGTGTTCGCAGGTATCTGAGTAATAGGCAGGATGGCCATACATCTGGGTTGCCTGGCATAGCCCTGGTTTACAACTTGTTCCAGGAAAATAATAGCTTTCCTCGCCTTCGCTTTCCAGAGTTTCCTGCTTTGGATAGTGAATTATAGCTTCACTCTAGTTATGGGTAGTTTTTCATATTCGGTATACCTTTTGCATTTTCAGAAAAATGTTTTCCTTTTTTATTTAATTAGTAAGTATATTTTAATTTAAGGTCATAAAAATAAAAAGCTATTTACGTTTGGGGGGAGGGTGGCGTCTTGTCCACCCAGAACCCTTCCTGCGGGCACTGAGTGGGCTCCACTGCCAGGCTTCTATCTTGGGCTAGGGACGGAGGCAGACCAAGCTTGGGGAAGGGCATTTCAGGGCATTCTTAGCAAAAACAGCGGCTCCAGTGTACACGACCCTTTGTTTTTAAATCACACATCTAAGCTTTCTCTTCAATACCAGAATCTGTGGTACTGTCCAGTGACACAGTATTTTTTTCCTCCAAAAAAATAAAAGCCTTATGATAAGATAATGGGAATGATTTAATAATTAGAGGAAATCAGTCATTTTATAAGTTGGGAACATTTCCCAGTTTGAAAAACATATTTTGTGAAAAGCCCCACTATAAATTACTTAACTTGCTGTTTTTCAAGCCACATTTATTTCTAATATGGCTTGAAGTATTAAAGGCTAGCATGTATGTATGTATATACACACATACCTAAGATATATCTCTGAGCAGGAATAGTAGAGAGGGAGAGAAGCAATAGAATGATATAAAAAGGCAGATATCAGGATGTATTCATTTCCTGTTGCTGCCATAACAACTTTTCACAAAATCAGCGGTTAAAACAACAGAAATTTTTCTCTCACAGTTCTGGAGGCCGATAGTCTGAAGTCAAGATGTCAGCAGGGCTGCACTTGGCCCGTGCCAGCTTCTGGTGGCTGCGGACATTCCTTGACTTGCAGCTGCGTCACTCCAGTCTCTGCTTCCATGGTCACATGGCCGCCTCCTCTTGTCTTCTCCTCTGTGTGTCACTTACAAACACATTTGTTTGGACAGAGGGCCTACCGGAATAATCCAGGGTGATGATCTCATTTCAAGACCTTAATTATACCTACAAAGACCCTTTTTCCAAAGTTAACATTCACAGGTTCTGGGGATTAGGATGTACATGTATCTTTCTGGAGGCCACCATTCAACCCACTACGTGGGTCATCAGATTAACACTGAGATGTTTCTTCAGAGAAAGTATAGGATGTGGTCACAGGTAAGTGTGGCCCTGTATCTCTCCCACGTTTGTGTGTTTGTTTTTACAACTGGTATGTGGAAGAGAAAAACCAGATTATTTACTATACCCTAAGTGTTTCCAGGAGATGGCTGAACGATTATTTCAAAATAGCTCCTTATGGATTGAGTAATAGATTGACTACTATCTGGTTCAAATCCACAAATGGTTATTTTATTATTTCTTGCCAGGTAGGAACACAAAATATTTTTTTCTCCTGTACCCATCTGAGCAGCAGCTTGTCTGACAGTCCTGACAGGAAGGACATCAATAGAAAAAACAGCAGTCACTTTCCCTGAACTGCCACTAACTAGCTGGGTGATCTTGGGCAAGGGACCTACTCTCATTGGCCTCTGTTTCCTCATATTTCCCATAAGGATAATCATAATATTTCCCTGAGCAGGTTGTGAGGATGACATAAATGCCCAGAATGGTGACAGCACCTGGTGACCTCACCATAAATGGTAGCTGCTGCCACTGCCAGCTTGCCAGAGTAGAAACTTCTGTCCAAGATGGCCTGTGGGAAACGAGGAAAACCATATTCCTGGGAAGGCTGTGTTGAGTGACAGGGACGTGTGCAAAGTGGCCACATTTCTTTCTGGATGGAGGAAAGAGTAAACCTTCTTTCAGAGGTTCCTTTTCTCTCAAGAGAACTCCCCCCAGAGATGAGAAAGAGTTGGCGTCGTGTTCTGCAGTCTTCTTTGTATCCCCGTTTCTACATTTGGGCCTTGTCAAAGCTGAATGATGAACCAAAGAATTTTTAATAAAAACTGTCACTTTTTCTAATGAGGTTTGCCCTAAGTAACATCATTAACTTGAAGAGAACTTTTCTTAGATGTAAACATTTTTTTTTTATCACTTTGAGTGTTCAAATTAATCGTGTTTAAAACATTAGGGAAGGCTCTTGGATAATTTCTTTTGTTTTTAGGTCTCCATCAAATGTTCACCACGGCAAGCTTATGCAGATGTTGCTCTGTCCAGCCTCTGGTTCCTCCCTCCAGCCTACCCTTGCAGAAAGATATCTAATCAATATTCTTGAATCTCAGCTTCGATTAGGCTATTCCCTCCCCATCTCCATGGTCCCCTAGAGCTACCAAATAATGTGTAGGTTTCTTGCCCTCAATTTTACCTCTAATAAAACCCTTCCCACCTGATTGCCACCTGCTCCCTCCCCACGTGTACCCTGTGCCCGAGGCCACAGAAACACTCACAGTTCCCTTCCTGTGACTTGTCATTTCTCTTCCTCTGCCCCCACCCGCCACCGCTCTTAAGTTCCAGCACAAGAGAAGGATTCTGTGAAATCTTGATCTCCTTCATCTGAACTCACCTCACTTTGATTATATCCCTTTTATGAGATGCCATTCTGCCTTGTAGTATTACACGCGTGGTCTTCTTTCCCTAGGACATTATTGTCACCAGCTAGGGGCTCATGTCATTCATCAGTTTATTTATCCCTGGCAGATTTCTAGCATAATTGGAACATAGTATATATTTTTATTAGTAAGTTGTATTCTCTGCATAAAGTCTCTCTGTATATTTCCACCACCCCCCTCTTGAAGGTGTGCCACGTCATCACCGGGGTGAAATCTGGAAATTCCTAGCAGAGCAATACCACCTTAAACACCAGCTTCCCAGTAAACAGCAGCCAAAGGACACGCCGTACAAAGAACTCCTAAAACAGCTCACCTCCCAGCAGCACGCGATTCTTATCGACCTCGGTAAGTCTGCAAATCAATTTGACATGAAAATGGAAATTGCACTCACTTGAAAAATCTAGAGAGACTGTCCGAGTTATTTAGTGATCTGCCTTTAGGTTTAGCAATCACCGTTTGCTACTGAGACTTTCAATTAAAAAAGCCCCAGTGTAATCACACACGCCTCCTCCAAACATCCATAAAAATCTCCCTCTCTTCGCTGGGCAGCTTGTTAACTCTGCTCAGCATGGAAGGTGCAGTCATGACCAGGGTTCAGGTCGGTAATTCAAATATTGATAGGAGGTTTTACAATTCACCGAAGGAACACGCTGGAAGACACAACTGTTAGGACCGAGGCTTGGCTTAATTACAGGAGCTGCTCCCTAGCCTTTACTGCTTTGAAACAGAGTTTATGAGAAAAAAAATTGTAGAAAACAGTTTGTGTGCGCCCAGGGCAGTTTTATTGTAGAAAAGGGTAGGCACCTTGTGTCTTGAACACTTTTAAAAATGCTAGGATTGAAACAGTGTCCTGGGTACACGTGCTGCTGCCACAGTGAAAGACATGTGGAATTGGGGTGTAACTGGGGTGTGTGAAGAGCCTGTTCCTCTGGCGGGGCCTCTGTCTCTGCTGGTGGCAGGGCTCCCGGGCACCCGCGGGCCCCATGCGGAGGCTATTGCTGCCACCAGGAGCTCCACGGAGTCCCTGTCTGGGCCTCGGGCCCTGCGTGGCCTGGCCCTTTGGTCTCCAGGCCAGCAGCCGAGAGGGAGGGAGGACGTGTCCGAGTCATTTGAGGTGGGCTTTGGATCAGGCAGGATGGAATCTTTTCTGTCCAGCCACACAGCACATCGTAAGGGTTAATTTCATCAGTGTTGCTCTTTTGGTCTAAGCGCAGGTGTCATCTCTGAGGAACTGTCCCTGACCTGTCTCTTCTCCCACCTTCAGGCTGTATTAGGTGCCTTGGCTAAGCCCTCTGTCCCACCCCATAATACTTGTCACATTTATTACTATTACAGTTATCATTGTTTAAAGCTAACCCTTAACGTTAGCTTATGCCAAATGTTCTGTGAAGTGACTTAAACTACTTTCTTTATGCCTCACAACACAACCCGGCAGCTATTGTTCCATCTCTGCTTAAAGTTGGAAAAATGGAAACAGAGAGGTGAAGTAACTTGCTCAGAGTGACACAGCCGACGTGTGACTCCAGGGTCTGTGCTCCGTAGCCCGTCCTCCCCCACCACTGTCCTCAGTTATGTGACAGTGGCAGCAGCTTTTTTTATTGCCTTAGGATGCAGCACTCTCTGGTCTGGACTGGGGCTGTTTTACCATCATAGCCCCTGCTGCTAAGATAGAGCCTGTCACATAGCACATGATCAGTAAGTCTTTCAAGATGTTGACGACAAGGCTCTGCACTGGCACCTCAGCCTCACACGACCCTCACAATAGCCCTTGTGCCCTCTTTTAAGAAATGAGGAGAGTGAAGCACTGAGAGGTCAGTTGGTGGCCACAGTCACACAATTAACTGGCTGGACCTAAACCCACTGTGGTTCTGTGCTGCAGTTCGGGCCCTACGTCCCTAAGGCCCTCTTAGCCCAGGAGCCCACGTGTTCCCATGGAAACAGCTGGCTAGGTGAAGGGTGATGCTGACAGGCTGTGATTATGCCTTAGGGACAAAGTGTAAGCGGTGGGGCTGGAGCCCGTTTGGCCCACTAACCCCGAGCAAAGCAGTTTTGTGAATTGGCAATAGCTGTGTTTTCTAATGTGATGAGTAACAGAAAAATGACATCATGTCCCTATCATGTGAAATGAAGTGGAAAATAAATTTAGAGTAGGAGGTTGAAAGGGAGGGAGTATAGACGATTTCTCTGCACCATCCCCCACCCCAACTCCTTCCCAGGATTAAGGTAGAAGGACACATGTTTTCCCCTCCTGGATTCAAATATTGTCTTCTCTTAGTTGTCCTCGCATTCTTCCACGGGCAGGATCCGTCCTCTGCCTCCTGTGGTGCAAATGTAGTCACTTTTATGCAGAGGAGAAGAAAAAGACCGGGTCAGCACAAGGCGCTGCGGGGCTCTCCCCATGGAGCTGAGTCTGCCACGGCCAAGCTGGGGTGGCCTCCCCTGCCCAGAGGCCCGCTGCAGCCTTTCTCCCAGAGGGCACGTGGTCTGTGCGAGCCAGAATTTGGCCTTTTCTCCTTCATGAGCAGGGCCAGGCAGCATTCACCTCCTCTTTGTCCCTGCCCACCTCCCCCCATCACCCTTCTGCACCCCCTAAGGCCAGCTGCAGCCCCCCTTCCCTGACAGCACTGGCCTCCCTCTCCACTTTTCCAGTCCTGACCTCCATGTTGTGTGCTCTCCAAATACCTTCCCAAGGCCTAAAAGAAGCTGTTTCCAACAGTACGTTTCTCAGTTTACCTCTGTGCATCTCTCAGGCTTTACTCAAGGACCTAGCAGGGCCAGCCTTCTCTCCCCACTTGCATTGGGAGAAGCTCCCAGTGTGTTAGCTCAGACCCGTCGTGGCTCCAGGGTGCCCTGCCTGCCAAGCTCCCCTCCGTCAGGTTCAGGGAGGCCTCACTTAGATGTTCCTCCAAACTGCCTGTTGCTTCCCCTCCCCTCTCGGCAAGAGGTGGCCATAGCCAAGTCAGTTGTTTAGTCTGCACTTTCTATTTAGTCTGCACTGTGGCTAACTCAAGGCCCAATAAAGGTGTGTAGGGCAGAGCAAACTAAATCATATTGCAGTTTTTCTTAAAAAGTGACCCATATCCTGATCAGAAGTAAAGAATGCTTGTTGGATGGAAATACTTTGAGTTTTCATGGAGTTTTGTTTTTCTGCCTCTCGCTTTCCTTTCTGAAATTAGCTGTTAGTCTAATCAGCTTTCTGTAATATTTTTTTTTCTTTCAAAGAGTAAGGATAATAGACTTTGTAATTAGACGGTGTTTTATAGTTTGGGAAACATTCTCAAGCTTTGTCAGATCTCAACTTTATACAACAATAATTGGGCCCATATTATTCCACCTTGGAGGCGATGAATGAGGCCCAAGTTACAAGTTACTCGGGGGCAGAAAGTCCTGAACCTAGGTCTTCTTAGCCTCCCTATCACGTCCCTTCTAGGACACCTGTCTTTCTTGGCTCTGCCCACTTCAGACCAACACAGCTTCCCCTCCCATAGTTGGGTGGCATAAGGCTCCTTAAGAGCTGACCACACCCAGGTGGGAGAAAACACTCCCTCCAGGGCTTAGCAGATGATACGTAGCAAATCATTGCTGAGGCCTCCTTTCAGGAACCTGCCCCACCCAGTAAGCCTGGCTTCAGCCACATCCATCTGTGCAGCCTGCCTTCTCTGGCTCTCCATCCTGGGTAGACAACGTGGGCTGACAAGCATCCTAGCTGGACTGCCTGCTCTGGTTGTGCCCACACTAACGGCTGCAGGTGACACTGAGCAGCTAGCTGGGACACCCCATCCAGGCTCCACTTCACCCTCCATCTCCTTCCGCTTGAGCTGCTCCTCTCCCTGGCATCCCAGCCCACAAACCCCCGAGCTCTCACAGAGCTTCCACCTGGTGAGGCTGTGCAGCCTCTCCCGTGATAGGAAGGACTTCGCTGGAGCAGTCCTTGAACAAGTCCAGAAATGCAGGAGCACCACTAAAGCAGAGAGCGAAGACAGGCACTGTTGATAATCTCCCCCCCATCGATTCCTTATCATTTTATTAACCTGTGCTTTATAACTCAATAAAGTGGGGGCATAGTGTACGTTCCCTGCAGAGGTTTGGCGAATCTGTTGGTGACCAGAAGCAGCACTTTTTGATGGACTTCTAGAGACATTCCGTCAGTGACACCTAAGCGAGCCTTGGCATGCCCGTGCTGCAGGAAGAGGCAGAGCACATACCCAAAGACACATTTGGGTCTAGCACCCAGCCCTGGGAGCCGTTGTATTGATTTTTGCTTCCACGTAACATGTTTTACTCAAAGGTATGAAAGCTTCCCGGTATCTGGAAGAAAAGGAGCTCTGGTCCAAATAAGATAAAAGAGATCTTATTTTCTCTTTGCTCTTTTAGAATCTGTAAAAGATGAGGAGGAGGAGAGCTGCCAGAAGGAAGGCCCCGCCGAGAGAATTTCAGATGACTAAATGTAGGCGGGCAGAGGAGCGAGTTTTCCTTCTCCCTCCCTGCTTGGTAGCTTGCCTCACTGGGTCGTGCCACAGAGAGCCGAGTGCTGTGTGCTCCGCGTGGCGGATGGGCTGTTCATGAGCAACAGATGGGTGCCCGTGGGAGCACCGCGTTCTGGGTCTCACCTTTGGGTGGTAGTCCTGCATGAGAAACCAAAAAGCGTTGATGGCAAAAGACAGAGAAGCCCCTAGCATTTGTCACGCAGCAGTCTTGTTACCTAGCACCCCTGTCTGCCCAGCTGGACTTTGCTTTGTGGAGTCACTAGAAGAAGCACAGCTCAGGCGTCTTAATAAATTCTTGTACCAACAGCAGCATGCATTTTTCCAGAGGGTCTGCCATTGTCTCATGTTAAGACCACATCATGAAACCATATTGATTTGATCTTTCTAAATATGCTCTTTAACCTGAAAGTGATAGAACTAAACATGAGTGATAAAAGAGTCAGGCGGGGTATGACTTCATTTCCGTTCATAGAGGTCTGAAATCTTCCTACATCCTTCGAGCCGATCAGTGGTGTGCTGCTGGCACACGGATTCCCCCAAGCCCTTCAAATGAAGCCCTGTGCCAGCGTTTGCAGATTCCCATGGTGTAAAATACTCTCGCCTTGGCTAATTTTAAGCTACCAACCTGAGTGACATCACTGATGGCGGAATTGGGCAGAGATTCGCACAGAGCCAGAAGGAGCCGGTTCCAGCGGCCACTAGACTCAGCAGGTGTTTCCTAAAAATAAGCTGCATAGAAAAGAGCTCTCCCTTTTTTTTTTTTTTTTAAAGATTTTATTGGGGAATCGGGGGAAGGGGAACAGACAAGTTGCTGTTGTTTTGTTCTTCAGTCTAGTTGTGGAGGGCGTTGCTTCACTGGCCCAAGTTGGCACCATCATTGCACTCTTCCCGGGCGAGGCAGATCAGTCGCCGGCTTCTGGACGGCCGCTCACTGCGGCTGCTGGCCACTCACGCTGGCTGCTGGCTACACACACAGTAGCCCATGGCAACCCACTGCCACAGGGGCTGCAGCCTATGCCGTCGCCGGCGACTCATGGCAGCCCAGCTCCAGGTTGAGCTGTTGTTCAGCATCTTAGCTGTGGAGGGCAGTGTCACTGGCCCTCATATGTGGGATCCGAACCGGGGCCCTCTGGCGTCCCAAGCCAGCTCTTAACCACCGCGCCACTCGGCAGGCCCAGCTCTCCCTTCTTGACCGCGCCCCCGTGCACTCAATGGTGATTCTTCTTGAGCACCCAGTACATTTGGGGCATCTGTGTGGCCTGACCATGGGCAGCTCTGCCATCAGCCTGCCACAGTGCCCTCCTCCAACTGAATCTTTCTGAAGGGGTGCTTGTCGGAAGCCTGAAGACAGAGCATGAGAAGTGCTTGTGTGGTTCCTTTTTCATGTCGGCTTACAAGTTAAGGTCGTATGAATCTGGCTGAGGCTTGCTGTCACATATCATACCGCTCGGTAGCAAGCTGTGGGGACGGTAGCTATAGCCACCCTGGAGGCTACCTAGGAGGCTGTCTCCCCCAAACACAGAATCTGTAGGACCTGTTACAGAATGAAAACATGGAACCCCTTGTTCAAAAAATAAAGTATTTCATGATGGTGACAGTAGAGCATTAAACCTAGCACAAGGCCCTTCTAAGCTGAGCACCAGTGTGACTGTACTGGACAGGCGCCCGTGAAGGCCCTGCCCCAAGTCTGACAACTGCTGAGTAGCCAGATTGGCATAAGTCACTCCCCCGGCTGCCAGGCTTGTCCTCTGAGGAGCCTTGTTAAATAAGAAATGCTCACTCCGCAAGCAGGGCAAATTAGCGTGCACTCTTGTTTCTGTGTGGCATAGTACCTGATATGAGGGGCTGCCTGATTAGCAAAAATGATAATATTAAAGGATTAAATTTAAAACCAGGTAAACCTTTCCTTGTGTTCCTCTGTGCCACAGGACTCCTGTGTGTCCTGCCACCTGCACCTATTTGAGACCCAGGGAGGGTGGGGACATGTGCCTGCCGGCTGGGCCAGGAGCATGAGCGAGCCCACAGAGGCGGGAGCTCTCTGTCTGCTTGGAAGCTGGTGGGATTTTCGGGGGAAGGGCTTCCTGTCACCTTTGCCCTGGCCCCTTTGAGAACCTATGGAAAGCATATGCTTGTGCTGTCATTGTGGCAGCCCCGGGGGGCCCCTGAACACCTGAAATGTGGCTGGCCCGAATTGAGGTGTGCGATCAGTATAAAGAATGCACTGGATTGCAAAAGACTTAGTATGAAAGAAAAGAATACAAAATGTCTCAATAATCTGTGTATTGATTCCATGTTGAAATGACAATATTTTGTGTATGTTGGGTTGAACAGAATATCTCATTAAAATTAATTTCACCTGTTACTTTTTAATGTGGCTGCTAGAAAATTGTACATTATGTATGTGGCTTGCATCACAGTTCCGTTGTACCTGCTGCTCTAGACTAGGAAAACATGCAGGCATAACCACAGCCTTGTACTTTGCACGTGCACACAGTCTCCCGCAGCCTGGAGGGGTTCAAAGACCTGGAGAGCCCCTCACAGTTCCCAGGTTAACCCTGGAGTAGACAAAGCTGGGAGGGTAGGTGAGGAGGTGAGCGCTCAGAGCTATTGACTGCTTTCCAGCAGTGGGATGACATGTGTGTTTGGGGAAAGAGGTAGAGCAGGCAAGAAATGAGTACAGGACAGGAAATCAGGAGAGTAGTTAGGAGACTGTTGCCACCCTCTTACATCAGGTTCAGATAAACCGCTCTGGATTGATAAATGCCTTCTCAGGAGGCCGAGGAAGAACACCTGAATGAGACCTCTTCCTTTGGCCTAGCCGAGTGGGTAAGGTGAACAATGAATTAACTTGTGGCCTCCAATGCACCTTCTGCCTCTGCCGACCCAGACGAGGCCGTTATTCTCACCTGGGGCCAAGCTTCGCCCTGGTCAAACATTTTTTCTCTTGATCTGGTACTTTTCTGCTCCCTGGAAACACACTTCCCCGTGGTCACATTCCAGAAGGAGGGGGTGAGGTGGGATTTGACAGGTATCAGCCACAAAAGCCTCTTGGACAAAAGAAGTCTTGAAACCTTATCTAAATACCAGCTTTTTGTGGAAATAATCAAGATGTTGAGAATGTTTTTTTTAGTCGCTTTATTTTACACAACTGTTTTGTGTAAAAGAAAACACGTTCTGTTCCTCAGTGGGTTTCAAAATACTGCCTGTGGTTTAAAAGCACAGAAACAATGCACGTGGCATGAAGCACTTGCAGGCACAGCCCGGCAGGCAGCCTGGGAAAAGCTGATGGGGCGAGTGTGTGGCCAGGCCAGCCCTTGGGCTGCATTGAGATGGTGCTGGGGTAGGTGCTGCCCTGAACCACAGCTGTTGGCCCCTCTCAAGAGCAGAGGTCTGTTCAGAGGACTGACAGTTGTCTTTTTGTTTTAGATCGAAACCCAGATATCCGCAGGGTCAGAGGTAGCTCTGATTTCTTTCATCACACAAAAGCATGAATACTTGCGGATGTTTTACTTGCAAACCTTATTCCAAGAACAACCAGCTGACCTTGTTTACAGAGCTGACTTAGGATATCCAACTTCTGCAGCTCTGTTGCTTTAACCTAAAGCCCATCGGATTTCTGGTTCAACAGGGTTGCTTTTTGTTTTTTGTTTTTTAAATGACAGCTAATGTGTGTTGTTTTCACAGGGCGAACCTTTCCAACACATCCGTACTTCTCAGCGCAGCTAGGAGCCGGGCAGCTGTCACTTTACAACATTTTGAAGGCCTACTCTCTTCTAGACCAAGAAGTAGGATATTGCCAAGGCCTCAGCTTTGTGGCGGGCATCTTGCTGCTTCACATGGGTGAGGAAGAGGCGTTTCACATGCTCAAGTTTCTGATGTTTGACAGGGGACTGCGGAAACAGTACCGGCCGGACATGATTATTTTACAGGTAGAGTGTTCCTTGTGTTTTTGACGGAGACAAATGCCAAATGTGTTTGTGACCCCTTTCCGGGTCTAGCTAAGGAACTTTTTCACCATGAGTTAACATTGTCATATCAGTCGTTGCTGCAAATTTACTCTGTGACAGGTGTTATACCAAATGTTTCGTAGGCTCTTATCACCTCAGTAACCTTCAGGAAGACTATTAATAATCAGCTCAATGTATTTTTTTTTTTTTTAGCTGAGCCATCCTGCCACCTGTTGGCAGCTCAGCGGCTGCTCAGCTCGGGCTGGGCATCGAACCGCTGTTGCTCAGAGCTCAAACTCTTGAGCGAGCTCTTAACCAACTGAGCCACTCGGCCAGCCCTAATCAGCTCAATTTATAGATGGGAAAACTAAGGCTCAGAGAGGTTACATGATTTGACCAGGTCACACAGCTAGCAAGTGGCAGAGTTGGGAGTTAAATAAACCCAGGCCTGTCTGACTCCAGGACTCCCTTTGACCCTTCATCAGACCACCTTCAGATGATCTAATTCCTGCCCCCCGTATTTGCTACTTCCCGTACCAGGGATCCCACTCACCTCCGCCCTAGCCCTTGTCCTCCAGGGTTCAGCTCAGACACCACATCCCAGGAGAAGCTCATCCTGAGCACCCTGATGCTGTGTCCCCTACTTCCGCCCAGACGTGCTGTATCACGTTACCCTGCCTCATTTCTTTTATATCACATACTCGCTGCCTGATGTTATCATATTTCTCTATTCACTTATCTTTTATTTTCTGACTTTTCTTAGCATGTATCACGAGAGGGGAAGGATCTTACCCATCTTGGAGCGGCTTCCCTAGTTCCTAGAACAACACTGCCAAGGATGAGGTCCGCCCCCGCTCAGTATGTCAGTATTTGCTGAGTGAGCAAGTGATAGCAGGCAGGTTATAGGAAAAGAAAACGAAGCACAGCGGTGTGCTCCAAGTGCTGATTCTGCCACCTTTCAGAAGTGGAGAGAGCTCTAGATCCTGCTTTGGCGATTCCTAAATGATGGAGCACGTCTTTGTGTGTTCATTTACCAGCGAGATACTGTGATTTCAGAGCCATGGGAAGTACTGGAAAGGACACTTTAGAGCCAAGGACTCTCTCAGAGCACCAAATTGTGTGGTTAAAAACCACCTCTACCTGTGAATATGAACCACACGGACTTAAGTCTCATAAAAGGAAGCCATTCCATTTACTAAAAGATTCTGACCCACATGCCACCTTCCACACATACTTGCAGGTTCTTCCTTCGTTCTTCCCATTAGCTTTAAACAGAGATGCACCTGCCACCTCAGAGAGCAGATTTTTGAGTTTTGTATAATTTAGTATCATAACACATGACTGTGGGCTGGTGGCCTTGGTGATTAGATTCTTTTCGATGCAGAATAGCCATAGCTGGACTGTGTTGTCTGGCTTCTGAAAGTTTGAGCGGTGGGTTTCCGGCTTGCAGCATCTTGGTGGGGATCTGACCCTCTCTTTGTTTTTTCGGGCTTGGGCCGTGGGACTGCTGGGATCGGGGCTGCGCCTGCGACTCATCATAGGGCTTCCTGCCATGTCCGTATCACGCTCTGAAAAGGGGGCCCGTTGCGGTGAAGTTCAACTTTAGTTGGAAAAGTTACTTTTTCCATATTGAGATAAACACTTCTTATTTTAACTTGCTCAGGATCTGTATACTTTTGTAAGTTATAAACCTAGATAAGTCCCACCTGTCCTGCCTCTCGAGTAATTTGGGGGGCGGGGGGAGGGGCGAGGGTGTCCAGAGGGAATTTACTAACTGAACAGGTACAGTAAAATCCTTCTACAGAGTCGCTGTGTGTCCTCACTTCACTCGTAGCAGAGAGGCCAGCTTTTTATTTCTAATTCTCCTGAGCTTGAGTTTTGCTAGGAATGTGTATTTGTGAGAGAATTTACGAAGTGTTTCCACAAGACAGATGTTGAGATTCTCTTAGCCAAGGACCGAAGGGAACAGTAAAATGAAAGGAAGTGGTAGAAGACCCAACATGAGTGTTTGGGCCTGCACCTAGCCAGGGCCTCGCGTGCAGTGGGCACCCAGGAAGCTCTTATTGGACAAACGAGTAGCTGAGATCAACGACTGTCATCAGCCAGTAGAAACTTGAAAGCTCTGGCAATCCTTCTGTCACATCCTGTGAGGGGGACAATCACCACGTACCTGCAGCAGATCGCTGACACCTGTGTGTGTGTGTGTGTGTGTGTGTCCCTGCAGATCCAGATGTACCAGCTCTCCAGGCTGCTGCACGATTACCACAGAGACCTTTACAATCACCTCGAGGAGCACGAGATCGGCCCCAGCCTCTACGCCGCCCCCTGGTTCCTCACCGTGTTCGCCTCCCAGTTCCCTCTGGGGTTTGTGGCCAGAGTCTTTGGTGAGTGTGGAAACCTGTTTGCCAGAACCAGCCTTCTCGTGTTAGACGAGAACCATTTATTGTCACTCCATGGGGCCTCTCCTTATTGTTACACCTGTATCTTCTGCACGAACCGGGTATTGTGTGACACCATAAGCTTAGTTTAGGATTAGGTTTTATGAATTTCAAGACCTGCCTAATTTCTGATAATCATTGCGTTTCCCTTAAGACCTTCATCTGGTGGGATTTAGACCTGATTTCCTCCCCATCAGGCTCTTCCTAGAGCAGACATTTTAACTGAGGAGCCCCGGCATGTATTCCAGGAGGTATTTCCCATGAATCACCTTCCTCAACCTCTGTGGCTGGTGACGATGTTCACTGATAGCTCCTTAAACCTTTTTGCCCAATGACTTCAGAGCTACTGTTCTTCCTAGATTCTCTTCGTACCTCCGCCTCCCCGTTCTCTCTCTTCCTATACTTGGCTCATGCTTGAAGACACCTGTGTCGCTGACTTACTGTCCCCTCCTCACATGGCCCCCTGCCTCACCTTCCCAAAATTAACAGCCACTTCTACTTCTGTGCCCCACCGTAACCATAGGTTGTTCTCATTTTAAACCACCCCCCATTCTCTTGATTTACTTTTGAAGAAGATTGCCTCTGTGAAAATAAAATAGATGTTCATGGGCAAAGTCTCAAAACTGCCTTGTCTAGTTTACCTCAATAAAAAATAAAAACAGTTTAAAAACTGCCTTGATACGGCAAGGTAGGTGCATCCTTTTGGAGCTGAGTGAAGCACTGTGAGCCCAGTCAATTCTTGTACACTGTGTTTTCCCTACTTCCAAATGAAATAACAATTTTGACAATTCAGGTTGTTTTTATTTTTATTTTATTATTTTTACCGTGGAGGAGGAGATAATTAAAAAATTGATAATCATCACGTCAGATGGTTTTAAAGTATCATTTACATTCAGTCATTTGATAGCTTAAAAGCCTATAGTTTTATCATAGTTGTTTGTTTTTAGAATTAGCATCCTAAAGAGAATGTTCACAAATATTGAAAGAATACTACTTTAGGCAGCTTTGGGTAAACAGCCTGCATATCCAAATTCTAGATATCCTAGAATTTTATTTTTAATGTAAGTGAGCATTGAGTTGTCTTCTCTCTTCCTCTTCCCCACTAAAGCACTAAAGTTTTATTATTATTCACTTGTATTCACGAACTTTTCAAGAATTTCCCATTTGGCTTTACTAGAAGAACCTATTGATATAGTCTTAAAATCTTCACTACCCCCCTCCCCTTTTGTATAACTGTCTCCCCAAATGGATTTTTATTTTCTGTCCCTAAAAAAATAAACATTGAAGAAAATTGGTACTAAAAGCTCTTCTTTCTGGTTAAACAAATTGTTCAACTTTCATGAAGGTTTTATATCATAGTTAAAAAAAATAACTAAAACCCTCAAAATTGTCTTGTCTTTTTAGTTTACTAACAAGAGTCACAAAAACTATTAAGATCCCTAGCTGTAGGCTTCAGTTTTTCTTGCCAAAAGTTTCTATGTATTTTACTTTTCTTTCTCTGGAAATTGAAAGCAAATCATTAGTCTACCTTTACTTGCCTTTTTTTTTCTCCTGATTCCTGACTGTATTTTTTCAGACCGGGTAATGGAGAGGAGTGGAGACTGAAGGGGGAAGGCGGGAGTGTTTGTTACTGGTTTGAGAACAGCTCAAGCATCTAATGACACAGTGGAGAAAATCCTACAAAGGGCGCTGGGCTGGAAGGGATAAGGTCAATGTGAGTGACCGCTGCCCAGCCGCAGGCACCGCAGCTGCTGCCTGCACATGGTTCTGGGGCTCTAGGGCCGTAAAGCCCCAGGAAAAAAACATACCTTAGGCTGCATAAGTGGATAAAAGGCATTAACAACAGATAAACTCTGCTTTGGAAATGAGTATTCGGAACTCTATGAAGCTCCTCCTAATGATTTCATAAGTAAAAGTTAAGACTAGTAAAAGCCAATATTTTTCTCTCTATTATGTAGCCAGTGGTGGGCCTTGGAGTTTCTTATACATTATGCATAAAGATGCCAGCGTCTTTGTAATTCCCGGATCCCACAGACCCCCTGCGGCACTAAGTGGGTTTGTGTCCAGCTGGCTAAGGGCTCAGCTCCTAGAGTTATAGGCAGGAAGTGGGAACTCAAGGCAGCACTGTGTTGTGATGTCATTTTGCAAAAACTGCTGGTGTTTTTGCACAATCCATCCCATCTATCAGGACTTGACAACAAACTGTTTTATTAGTAGGTTCCATAGAAAAGATAGGCCCCCAAAAACTATTCCAAGTTAGCATTGGTGACTTCCACCGTGTTTGTTTAGCTTCATGATGGTGGGCAGAGAGCTTAGCTTTAAATCCCAAATCATACACTGTAGTCTTTTTTTGGCCTGAAGCCCATTTCATTATAAGCCTTTAGGCCTGGATAAGCCCTAAAAACAAATGAATCTTTGTTAACTACTCACTATTTTATATGTAAGTAAAGGATTCTCAGCTTGTAGTCAGTGTAGCTAGTATATTAATTAACATATGCCCCTTGGAGGGACAGCTGCCAGGGATGTATGTACCTTAACCTTCACCTGGTAATCACACTTTGCTGGATGTCAGTCCTGTCTGGGTGTCACATCATGTAAACTAACCTCCTCCTGTATTATTCCAGTTTGGGTGTGGAGGGGTCCCTAGGGAGATGCTGGCTCTGTTCGCCGTCTAATCATGTCTGTCTTTGGGAAAAATCTGAGAAATAGGACCTGGCTTGCTCCTCATGGAGGAAGAGGCTGCCGTATCAGGCTCCTGAAATTTTCTATAGGACATGCTGCCAAGTAGGTGAGAGAGGAGGTGGAATCTAAACACTGAGGGCTAGGCAAAAAGCGCAGAAGCCACCTGTAATACAGGCAAGGATTCGGAGAGGCTTGAGGACTAAAATAGACCCAGGAAACAAGACTGTTTGCACAGCCAGGAAAATTGGCGCTTCAGGGAAGGTGATGCAGTGGTGATGGAGTTTCGCACAGTCTGCCTATGCTGCTGCGAGGCTGTCATCACCCTTCGTTTCCCTCCTACCTGTTCCTGGTAGGAACGCGGGGGTGTCACACCTGGAGGACGGCCGCCTACCAGAGAAAGCTAAGGAGAGGGATTGTCCTTGACAAAGACAAGGGTGGCTGGGAAGGAGATGTAGTGTAAGTCCGCTTACCGGCCCTGTGCGTGGCGTTTACCTTTTTCCCCCACAGGAAAATTGCGCTCTCGTACCATGAGGAGTTTCAAATAGAATTCTCGTACCCGTTAACACAATCACAGGGCTGCCGAAGTGTCTTCAGAGGAAAGTGGTTATTTATGTTGTTCTCAGCAAATAATTTGAAGAGTGGCGGAGTAGCTGAATTTAAGGCTCCCTTTACCTCCTGCCTGATACAGCCCTTTGCCTGTTTCTAGGCGGCTTGAGAAAGGAGAGGAGGAGGGACGGCAGCCCCAGCGCTGTGAGCTGAGCAGTGCGCGCTGCCGGGGGCCTCAGAGCCCTTCACCGTCGCGGGTAGTGGGGTTCACATGCTGGGAATTCACTTTTCCAAGGAGACTATTGTTTTGTTCTTTAAAAAAAAAAAAACAAAAAAACACAATTCCAGAATGTGAATGTATAAGGATTGGAATATGCACAAAAATGAAAATAATTTGGGTGAGGGCATTGGGTTTATAGGTAACATTTTTCTTTACCGTTATTTAAAAATTACTCACTTCTTTGAATTTCCAGGGGGAGACAAATGCACTCATTGTTTAAAGGAGATAGGTGTTGCCCCCCAAGCATACTCAAGATAGATTTCAGAGCCCCTTCTCCCAAGCAAAACTAGGAGGGGTCTTTCCTTCAACCCTTTGGGCACATTCCTGCATGGTACACCCAAATGGACTCCTTACTTGAGGCCTCCAGAGTCTCACAGAAGCTTCTGGCGCTGAGCTCTCCCAGGCTCACTGTGCAGACAACCGGCTGGCTTGTCTTCGGAAGTACGGGCACCTGGATTGGGCGTCCATGAGTGCTGGTGACCTGAGCATCTTGCAGCTGGCAGCACACACTTGTGAATGTGCTGGTGGGCATCAGCATGGTCTCATCAGTGGCTCTTAGAAAGTGGCGTTTCTCTGTCTAAAACAAACTGGCCCTTGCAAGGGTCAGACCCATAACCTAGATCTCCTTAACATCATCTCCTTACCGATGCACTGACCTACACAGAAAAGGGAACTGAGAGCCTTCGGTGACCCTATCTGCGCTCTGGGTACAGTTAGACAGGTGTGGCAGCAGAAAGCCCTTGGGAACCGGCCCCACCTTTAGACTGCAGCTCCAACTCTTCCTCACCATACTCTCTCCAGGCTCCCGCCCCTCATGGGGTTCTTTCACCCTCTCTTCATTTACACCTTCTTTTCCTTCTGCTCAGAGTATTATTCCCTGACTTCTTACCTGTTGGGTTGTCGGAAAAGTCATGACATATTTTTCTATGTTTTTCGTTGCAAAAACGCGTCATGACTTTTCCGACAACCCAGTAGCAAGTTTCTATGGGTTTTTCAGGACTAGGTTTGGCTTCCACCTTTCTTGGACTTTTTCTTCCCTTTTGTTAGCATAACACCCAGGGCATAACTCTACCAAACCAATGATTGTTAGTGTGTCTCTGTACTTTGTTCTTTGTCCATGGCTGACTCCAAAGTGCCCAATACAATGCCTGGCAAGTATTAAATGCCCGATGAACACTTAAATTAGAGAAACTTCCCAGCAGGGAAGAGTGCTCCTAAGGTGTTGAGAATAGCATTAGGAAAGAATATTTCTTTTTTATCACATTAAATACAAACCATTAAATCCAGTGAAATAAACATATCCAGAGTTATATTTTGTTTTTAATACACCAGTAGAGTTTTAAAAACAGACACCTCTCCAAACTTGCTTTTGTTTTCTTCATATAGTCCAAAAAAGTCTGAGTTTGGAATCATAGGAAGCACTGTACTGAGTAAATTTGTTATAAAAACCAAGATCCTAAAGGAATAAAACTTGGAAAGCCCATTGTTAACCTTAGGAGACTGCCGATGTGGGCTGCATATTTGATTATGCTCATAGAAGTTCCCCAATAATTATTTAATTGCCTTAGATGTGGTGCCGTGTCTAAGTTTAAGGTACCTGTCCCTCAGAGAGCAAAGAATTGAGCTGTAATAAGTCATGGGTCTAGTAGTGAAGCCCATTCCCCAGGACCCCTGCCCAAAATGTCTTGATATTCATTCTGATAGATGCCATCACTTTTTGTTCAGCTATAAATATCCAGATACTGAAAGGAAGTCTCAGTGTCTAAACCACAGTCTTCAAATTTACTTTGTTTGGTTTTTAGAAATGTCATTTCTGTATAAAAGTACATCTTAGTTATAGTGCTGTTTTAGATCTTTTTTATTTTCTGCAGTGGTGAATTACGTGGGTAGACTGTATATTTTATAAAGCAGACATTTCACAGGAATATTCTTCCATAGCACTGCCTTGATACACATAATACTTGCCCTAAGAAGCTCCACTTTCAAAGATATGACCAGTTCTGTAACTTAATCTTCCCAGCCAAACTGAAGAGGGAGGCAGCCATCAGACCTTTCTGGTTCCCTGGGGTCCCCCTGAACCTCGAGCAGTTGTGATGTTTGTGGAAACTGTGTTGCTGAGCTCTGAGACTGGCCAATCTCAGCAGCTGCATTGCTTAAGGCTGCACCCAGCCATGCACCAAGTCCAGTGCCGTGGTTAAGGTTCCAGGGCTAACCCGGCCTCTCAGTACCTAGGTCTGTCATGTTCACTGTCCACAAACTGCTTTGGCTTGGACACCTTTCCCATTTGCACAGAAGCACCCAGCCTCTGTTTTCCTGTTTCTTAATGGCTTTTACATGTCATCACACTAAGCCACCGAGAGAGGCACAGTCCTGGGGATTCTTCTTTTCACCTGCTTTTGTCTTCTTTGACTTGATGAAATTTACTGCTATTTTTGTCTCTTCCGTTATCCTGCAGCCAAAAAATAAAAGAGAGAGAGAGAGGGAAATATTGGCAGTGGTCTCTAATTAGATTTATGCTCTCATCTTTAAAATTATATCTCTTTTTATATTACTATTCCAGTTGTTAGGTAACTTGTCTTAATTTAGTAACCCAACTGTTAGTTACTAGGGCTGTGCTTTAGCACCAGGATATTTGATTCTTTCTGGAGTGGCTTCAACTCTGTGAGGAACGGGGAGCCAAGGCTGGACTGGCTGCTCACCCCGTTGCCTTAGCCACTTCCCTCCCTCTCACTGTGTACAATCAACGGGGGGATTGCTAACAGAAGAAAAAATATGGCAAGAACTACAAAATAACTCTGGCAAAGTTCTTTTGAATTCCTCTGGGGGAGATGTTTTTTACTCCATTATTAAGCTAAAATTCAGTATACTTGTATTTAATAATGTAATTTTGCAGTTGATCAGACATTTTAGTTTTTTAGGGATCTTTTAATCCCTATTTCAAAATAGAGGAAACAGGCATTTTTATTTTATTTTTTTAACTAATGCTGTTTTTTTCTAAACGTATATCTAAATGCTGTATATCTGATAATGTATATCTAAAAATCTTTCAGTTTTACTCATAAAAACTGAGTAAAGTTTAAGAGTTACTGTTTTTTAGTAACTCTTGAAATCCAGAGCATTTCTGGGTAAATGGACTAATAACAACTTTTCTTTTTCTCAATTTAACTTTTGAAGCATGTTTGAATTTAATATCTTTTTGGAGAGAAAAAAAGATTTACATGAACCTGTGGCAAAATCTTAGTATGTTTATCTATATTTTATTATTTGTAATATTGTCTTGACAACCCTATCTGAAATATCAGGCTCTTCAAAAGGAAATAAAGTTTGCAGTTTGGGGTCATGTTTCCCTCTGTCCTGCTCTATGAAGTGTGGAAAAAAAGATGGAATGGTGTTTCATCAGAAGCTGGTCTGGTTTAACTTTCTGCATTTCTGTGTTTTCCCAGATATGATCTTTCTTCAGGGATCAGAGGTCATATTTAAGGTGGCCCTAAGTCTGTTGGGAAGCCATAAGCCCTTGATTCTGCAGCATGAAAACCTAGAAACCATAGTTGACTTTATAAAAAACACACTACCCAACCTGGGCTTGGTGCAAATGGAAAAGACCATCAATCAGGTACGATTCAGTCTAACCTTCCAACAGCTAAAGCGACCCTGGATATATAAAAGCTTAATTTTGGTTTGTTTGTTTGTTTGCTTGTTTGTTTTGGAGTAGAACCTATTTTCTACCACTTTGTATTTTGGGGCAGCATCATGCATGGTGCCTGGCATGTAGGGGGCTCATCACAAATATGTGTTCGGTGATTAAACGCACATGGGAGAGTGCGTGTGGTGAGTGTGATTGTGAAATGCCACATGGATACTCGGTGGCAGTGTTTAGGGGTGATAACCAGCACAGATTATCAGCAGTTTCTTATAATTAAGAGGTTTTACTCCTAGTTGTGAGTTTTTCTGAAATACGTACATTTATTCAATGTAGATTTTTGTGAAATAAGTGCTTTGATTTTTCTGCTGAGTGGTATTTGGAATTTTCTAAAAAATAACTGATAGCAAAGTTGTGATAAAGCATATATATTCTATAAGTTGGCGAGTGTGTGTGTGTGTGTGTGTGTGTGTGTTAATAGAACTCTGTGTTAATAGAACTCCCACGGCTGTGGTTTCAGCACCTCTGGTTTCTGGGTACAGTAGAATCATTATTTCCTGAAATGTTAGGGGTGAGGGGTGAATTGAGATGGTAATTACAACTAGATCAATTGCTGAATGGTTTGGGTTAGGGCTGGGAGCAGAGTCTGATTCTGTGTAAGAAAGAGTCTTCCACTAATGATTGCTGACTGTGAAGGACTGGGCTACTTAGCAGAGGGTGGGGTCACCCGTGGAAATGTCCAGAGTCCAGATGACTGAGACTGCTTTGGAAGAGAGCTCTGCATCCAGGCACTGCAGAGTCAGCAGTCAGGCCTCCTAAGCCTAGAACCTAACCTCCCCTGCTCCACATGCAATGAAAACAGAGCAGTTTGCTAAAAACAAATAATAAAATAAAGCTATTTTTTAAAAAATCCTTATTCTGAGGATTTCTGTAAATCCAGTGTCAGGCGTCCAGTTGATCCAGGGCATTGTACCCAGACGCAGCGCTTGTGATTTCCTTTGCTTCCCCCTCCTTAGGTGTTAGGCTCAAAAAAGAAGCAAGATGGTCTGGAGTGGGGGAGGGCGTCATGCCCAGTGTCACTTGAGCTCTCTGCACATCTCTGCCTGTTGAGAGCAGCTCTCCACTCTGCACATTTGCCTTCCGTTCATTGTAGGCCTTGCCTCTCTGTATTTTACTTCCCTGGCACGTTTCTCTCAATGTGAATAACTTTGGCTTGTTGAGACCTTACTGTTGCCAGGTTCTGTGTGAATCTATAAATACACATGATCTCATTTAATCGTGACCACACTCCTGAGAGGAGAGGTGGTTTAACCCCTGAGCAACCCAGGGCTCACAGTGGTTAATTAACTGGCCCGCAGTCACCCTGCTGCAAAGTGCAAAGGGAGGGTCTCAAACTCAGGTCCCTCGGCCTCAAAGTGCTTTAGCGGTTACTGAGTAGCCCCCGGCCTGTGGATGTCATTTACTTACAGAGTTTTTCTGTATTTTACCTGTATATTAATACTGAACTCTTCACCTTTTTGATTTTTTAAATTCTGGCATTTTGTACAGAAGTCAGAGCTTTCATTGCAAATACTTACATCTTAAGGCTGCTAGGCACACACAAAGAGCCTTCGTCACCTACCCAAGTCTGTGCCCAGTGAGCGCCTTGCCTTTGCTCCTGTCTCTAAGGCAGGCAGCCTCAGCAGACATTCAGTTTACCTCCTGGATATTGAGCTCCAGAAAAAAAAACCAAAACCCATTTTCCTCCTTTTGCTGTAATGAATACTTACTCAGAGTGTTGGGTACTCTTTAAATGTTGGAAGAATGGCCATGGACAGCAACTTGGAGAGAGAACAGGTTTTTTTGTAGTGTGTACCTGATTTGTTTCAGGCAACTGTTTTTGAACTTGGCATCTTTTATTCTACTAACTTCTTAACAACTCTGGAACGTGTATTACAACCCCCGTTTCTGTAGACTGGAAAGCTGGGCATGGAGAGAGGAACATGCTCCACCCCCTGCATAACGTGGCAGAGCCAAGAATTGAACGTGTCTCTCTGACACCAAAGCCCATCCTATGAAGAAAATAAGCATGTAATCCAGTAATTACACATGTGGGAGAGCTCCTGTGGGGCCTGTGTGAGGGCTTATGGGAGCTGGGCCGGTGGAGTGAGTGCTGACGTTGAAAATTGAGGGAGCATATTGCAGCTGGGACTAAAGGAATGCTGCAAGCCAGGGGTTGGCACACGTTTCCTGTAGAGGGCCAGGTGGAATTTTAGGCTCTGTGGCCATAAGGTCTCTGCTGCCTTTGCAGTGTGAAAGCAGCCGTCGATAGTATGTATAGGAATGACGTGCCTGTGTTGTAATAAAACTTTATTTACAACAACTTCGGTGGGACAGATTCAGTCCTCCGACTAGTTTGCTGACTCCTGATCGATCGCAGCATATGCAAAGGCGTGGGAGTGAGAAAATAGAAATTCTAGATGCTGACACCTACAGCTTTTTTTTCCTTTTTTTCTTTTTTTCTGTGACATGGCTAGGGACTAAGGAGTAGTGATGTATGGAACATAAAAATCTACATTTTGGGGCCCATGTTTTTTAGTTTGCCAAAAGTCTTGACAGGAAGCAGTTAGCATACCCCAGGGGGTCTCTGCCCTCTTTTCCTCCCATGTTCTCCTACGAACTTGGCATCTGAGAGCGCTGTGTCAGGCTTGCTGCCCCCTCACTGCCTTCTCCCCTCCAGAGGGGTGCGCTAGTCTCAAGTCCTACTCAGAGCGGAGGCCTGAGGTGCAGTGTGAGTCCTCTGCAGTCTTAGAGAACCCCCAGGCTCGAATCTTGGAGGCCCACAGGGCAGAAGTGATAGACGCCCATGACTGAGCGTACTGCCCTGGGGGGTGGGCGGAGCCTGTGATGGTCACGGTCCGCATTCAGGATGGGGGAGAAGGCAGCTGAGGACAGGGCTCGGGGGCTCTGGGGCTCTGGCTCAGTACGGATAGGCGGGGCGCAGCCACCGAGGGGCACGTCCAGAGTTGAGAGTCCAGGGCCGGAGGCCTCTGAAAGCTCCGTGGACTTCCTCAGTGTGACTTAACTGTCTGCTGAGTATAAGCCATAAAAATTCTCCGACCCAAGAAGGGGGAAACCCTGCAAATAAACAGAAACTAAGAGGAGGTCAGGTTTGTATTCTTGCCAGTGAGTGCTGTCTGCTTATGCAGCCTCAATTCAGTGTCAGGAAAGAAAACAGAATTGGGAGACAGAGTTGCTTTGGGAGACAGAGCAAATAGCCTGTTTTCAGCATCCTTTGGGCTCTGTTCCAGGTGTGGCCTGTCACTGTATCACCTAGAAACCTGTAGGAAATGCGGAATCTGGGGCCCCACCCCGGACCTGCTGAGTCATAATCTGCATTTTAACAAGATCCCCAGGGGATTCACACACACGGGAACATTTGAAAAGCTCCACTGGGGGCAACTTCATTGTCAACACACTAGGCAGTTCTCTGTTCTAGCCGAGCTTATAGGATGGAAACCAGAATCTTAACAAGGTTCCTTTGTTCAGAAGGCGCTCCTCCAAATCAGGGGCCAGGCTGCCTCTTCTGCCCTCAAGAAGAGCCCTGGCTGCTTGGGCGGCCTGCGCTGTGAAATGAGCACTTTTTAGAAAGGCCAATCTGTGCTGGACCCAGAGGGTGGAGTATGTCGGGAGGGGTATTTCATTTTACCATTGGCATTGTTTAGAATTGCTCGCATGTGGTGATAATAAAAAGCAGACCAACTTTTCGCTGGGTTTATTACGGTTTTTAAATTCACTACAGACACTGTGCCCCCTTGTGGCCGATACCTGAGCAGACTTCCGGTGTGCCACTGAGACCAGCAGATGCAGGGCAGGGCCTGGGGGTGGGGACAGTGAAAAGCACGTGGCCAGTTCTGCAGACATCAGGGTTAATGGCTCCAGTATACAGAGCGTCCACAGACTGCAAAGAGAAACACTGGGTCTGCAATAGCACATGAGCCAAGAACATAGAGACACAGTTCCCTAAAGAGGGGCTCCATCTGTTGGGTCGTCGGGAGAGTCATGATGTGTTTTTCTGTTTTTCAGTGCAAAAATGTGTCATGACTTTCCCAACGACCCAATAGTAAACAAGTACTGGGAAAATAGTAGTTTCACGCTATTTAAATAACATATAATGTTTTACCTGCTAGATTAACCAAGCAAAAATTTTGAATGCCAGTACACAGTGCCAGGGGTATACTGTATCTGGCACATTCGTGTGTTGCTAATGGCATTGTACATCGAGTGTTCCATTTGGGAAGCAATTTGGCAATACGTATCACAAGCCAGTAAAAACATTCGTACCCTTTGACTCAGTAATCCCATTTTTTGGAATGTATCCTTAGGAAATAATCCAAAATATGGGAAAAGCCATATGTACAAGGATGTTTAAAGTTGTCATTTACAACAACAAAAGTGTGCAAGTGACTGGGTATCCAGCACTTGATGAATGGATTAACATGGTTATGATATTTCAAGTTGGTAGAATACCAGGAAGCCATTTAGAATTATGGTTATAAAGAATATATAGCAACTTGAAAAAGAATTATTTGAGGACCGGGGCATAACTGCAAAACTGAGGGCTCTAAATGTTTGGGCTGCCAGGAGATAATGATGCAGTTTAAGCAAAGATGATTATGACCCAGGATGGTTCTGAGGGATTAACGGGGGCCTGAAAGAGTTTACAGGCTTAGGCACAGTTGAAAGCCATTAACCTCAGCATATTATCAATCTGTATAAAAGGCCAGAGGTTTTGTTCCCAGGTTTTCCATGTTAGGAGCTCCTTTAAAAATAAATCTTGGTCAAATATTGGGCTCTCGGAAAAGTCATGATGCATTTTTGCAACGAAAAACATAGAAAAAATACGTCATGACTTTTCCGACAACCCAGTATATGATGATAAAGGAGAACTGACTGGGTGGTGAACACACAATGTGATATGTAGATGACGTATTTCAGAATTGTACACTTGAAACCTATGTCATTTTACTAACCATTGTCACCCCAATACATTTTAATAAAATAAATTTTGGTGGAAGAAAAACAAGTAACTGTGTGTATGACATTTATTCTGCACCATGTTTATAATTACACACTAATGCCACGGCAATCTCGGTTTTAATGTTGGTGGTTTGTACTCTTGTTTGAGCTATTCACAAGTTCCATGATGTGGCCTCCTTTATAATTTTGCTAAAGCACAAGGTTGAATGTTAGGGTTTCAGGACAAGTGTGTGGAAGCAAATCCCTTAGCCGAGGGAGCCCCCACTTGACTTGCTGGGCATGTGCCGGGAACATCCATGAGTTGTCTCATGTAATTCCCACTGCGATGCTGGGAAGTAGGTGGTATCACCCCCGTTGTTGGCAGCCACGAACTGATCCTGGGAGAGGTCAAGTAACTTTCTGAAGGTCATTCAGGGAGTCGCCAGTGGAGCCCTGATTTGAGTCTGACTGAAAGCCTGTCTCAGTTAGTTTCCTCGACTAAAAATAGAGATGATAATCTGTGCTGACAACTCTGAGTGGACAGCAGAGAATCAGGTCAATACAGTAAACTGCTCACGCACACGCCACAAATACAATGTGTATTAGTTTGTCGTCATAGGATGACTTTTGTGCCTCATTAGGATTATCCATTGAATTAAATTGAAAACCAGGAAGCGGAGAAATTAATCACAAGGAAGAGAAAATAAGATTGTTGGGAATGGTGAGAAGGTAAACATGGTTTTTGAAACTTGATTTCAGGGAAGATAGGACACACCCATGTTTGAATGCTAAGGGGCCATCAGGGGAAGTGAGTTTTTCATTGATTTTAATTCTGTTGGCCTTTCTTAAGGAAATGCAGTGAAGTAGTTTCTGCTCTCATAAAGTCTAACTTCATTCTCTAAATGTGTGTTCTGATCATGCTGGCTTTTTTAATATGGTAACTGAATTCTCAGATCCCACCAATCCATGTTGGGGCTCCCCTCCTGTGCTGAGAGGCACAGCCCCATGGGGTGATCCTACACAAACAACAGGAAAGCAAGGAGAGGCCTGGGGCGCCAGCCTCTGCCCTCTGACCTCCTTTTCAGCCCTACTTCCCTCAAGCTCACTCACCAAGAGAAAGTACAAATGCGAACAACTCACTCACTTGTGCACTTGGGGTTGTTTTTCACATGGGTGGTTTTTTCATCACTGTTACTATTATGGGAAGGAAGGCAGCCCAGGCATTGTTTCATATTCACTCATCTGTGTGGGTGACATTTGGGTTTTTGGCTCTTCTCTGCATGTCTTGTGTGCAGAGAAGGGGTTTTTAGTAAACAGTTCCATTACTTAGCTGTTCTTGTAACTCTGAAAACCCAAGTGAACTATAATGGAACTTTGACTCGGTGACTGGGCACGTGGGGCCGTGACTCTTTTGTTTTGTTTCCTCCCTTTGACTGATAGTTAATGTATCTAACCGAATAGAATTTTCAGAGTAAAAGGAAATTCAGGTACTGAAATAAGAACTAAAAATAAGTTTTTGGAAGCCTTTTTAAAAAGAAGGTTTTGGCTTTTGAAAAATGAATATCAGAGACCCACACTTACTGTTAATCTTAGGTATATTTCTAAATACTTTCTATATAGCCTTTCTTCCCAAGTAAAATGACTACCTTCCCCATGCAGAATTTTCCTGAATTGTCACTGATATTCCAGGCATAGACTGTGTAGTGGGTGTTTGTGAGCATGGTCACCTGTGTGTATGGTGTGTGTGTGTGTGTGTGTGTGTGTGTGTGTGTGTGTGTTTTATGGTGTGTGTGTTTTATGGTGTGGGGTGTGTGTGTGTGTGTGTGTGAGATTTCTCTCACTTTCAGTGCCTGATGACTTTCCTGTGTTTCACAGGTGTTTGAGATGGACATCTCTAAACAGCTACAAGCTTATGAAGTTGAGTACCACGTGCTTCAAGAAGAACTTATCGATTCCTCTCCTCTCAGTGACAACCAAAGAATGGACAAATTAGAGAAAACCAACAGCAGCTTACGCAAACAGAACCTTGACCTCCTTGAACAACTGCAGGTAGAGCTCACTTAGGAAGCAGCTTCCTGAGCCTCAAGTGTGTGGTGGTTCATTAACTCACCAAAGGCGCTAGCAGGCCGGGCATTCCCGTGACCCCGCTCTGTTTATAGTTGGGATCAAAGGTATCCCCGAAGAATGGAGCCTTTTTATTAGGGAGCAGAGAGGTTGTCCTTCGCGGAGGTCAGACAGTCCTGGAACTTGCTGAGAGGCTGTGTCTGCACTCAGCCTTTTAGGAAACGGGCCCAGAGATGAACTTGGGTTCAGGATGCCATGGTGCTATTAGCTGAATGCCAGCAATTGTGCTTTGAGTCATGATGAGAGAATCAAAGGCTTGGGCTTCCATGAGCGAAGCCAGCTTGGTCCATGGAGGGGATATTAAGGGAGGAAAGTGACACCGAAATCTTCCAGAGTGTGCGATCATGATACGTGAGTCCTTGGCGCAAATGCAAAGGTTTGATTAATGAAGGACACAGTTCTCCACTCTGGAAGCTTCCATTTTAACATGGGACAAGTGTGGATGAGGACATACTGTAGAAAGGCAGACACAGACCCTGCACGCAGAAGGGAGACATGGAGCAAACACGGAGAGGTACAATTCGAGACCTGGCTTTCCTGGGTCTGGTGGTGTCCCCACCCATACTGTCACCCGAGGCAGACTGCTAACCTCTGTCCTGATCCCCTCATTTGTGTGACAAGGACAAGAAGAATGCCTAAGTGCTTAGCACAGCTCCTGTACCAATCAGATAGAATAAAGGCACCATACCATCTCCTTTTTTAAACAACCATAAATGGGTGGTAATGCTGTCAATGTTAAGGAATTGTTTGTGGAGTGTTTAAAAAATTTTGGTTTGAGTTTCTGCAGAGAAAAATACATATTTTTCCCCCAAGTGTGTATTTTATGGTGGTGTTGGGCTGACCTTAGAATAGGCTTTCCGTCCTGATCTGAGCCCCTTGTTTTTCTCTGTAGAAGTTGCTGCTCTGCAGATATAAGCTTGACGATGATACGAGAAGGCCAGCATTTGAGAGCCTAATAAATCAGCCCTTCTCTGCAGTGCATTTCTCCCAGCAGGGATTTGTCCCAGTAGATCCGAGTAGATATTTATTGTAGAGGAACAAAGAAAAATGCTTTCCCTACCCAGTCTTAACTACCTGTCATATTTAGAAATTTAGCTGCTCCCCTCCTCCCCTCCCTTCCCCCCCTCCCCCAAGGTTGAGATGTCCTAACTAATAATATGTCTGAGGGCAATCTCTCCAGGACGTCACAGCTGCAACACGAAGGGAAGGTTCCAGGGGATAAAGAGCCTTATTTGGCCTGTAAAGGTCTGCAGTGTAGGTGGTAATTTTAAATGACTTCCAAACAAACAGTAGTTCCCTGAAATATAGCAGGATGGAAACATTTCTAACAAAGCTCAGACTTGCATTTGAAGCTCTTGACTTGTTCAAATAGGCAGTACTCAAATAAAAGGTTCATTTTATTGGGCTAAAGCCCAGGTGTGTGTGTGTGTGTGTGTGTGTGTG